TGTGAAAAACAGAAACTTTCACATTGTTTACATCAGGGGTCCTCAAACTTTTTAAACAGGGGGCCAGTTCACTGTCCCTCAGACCGTTGGAGGGCCAGACTATAGTTTAAAAAAAAAAACTATGAACAAATTCCTATGCACACTGCACATATCTTATTTTGAAGTAAAAAAACAAAACGGGAACAAATACAATATTTGTATTTGCATGTGGCCCGTGGGCCGTAGTTTGAGGACCCCTGGTTTACATAATTGTGCACACTTTGAAAGTCACATTCAACAATTTTCACAAAATTTAGCAATTTGCTGTTCAGTACAGATATTAGTGACAAAATGTTTTTCCTATTCCTGACACATATGAGATGAATGCTTTTCGCCACAAGAGAAAAAGACCTTATCCTGTTGAGGTCAGAGAGTTTTTGTGTCTTGGTTTCAAGCTACTACCTACCTATAACATGATGAGGAAATGATAGCTTTTGGGGAAGACCAATTTAAGTATCAGAGCTGCTTACAAAAATAACTTAAATCAGTTGGACAAAAGCATTCTAAAGTGAGACTTTGAGTCTTATTTTCTTGTAGTAAGTGTAATTTTAGAAAAGTAGCATATTTTCTAGGTTACATTTACCAACTCTGTTTTGTATTTATAGAATTTCTACCTCGCCAACTCTGTAGCCATATGACTGTGACTCTTGCCATGGCTGATAGGAGTTATGATGATTTTGATACTAATTTAACTCATTACTATCCCTTGTGTAATGTGTTAAACATGTCTTAATGTTTGAATTTAGAAACCTCTCATGATTTACCCATTCTTTGGTCATACAAAATGAAATTTCTGATGTGGATAAAAATGATTGTTTACTTATGATCTGATAGGTTTTCTAACATAATTAATCATGTGGGTCTGGAACTCTGAATTTCTTCTCTGTTTAAAGTCGGAGACAGTTTTCCAGGTGCCATTAAGAAGGCCAAGTATCAATCGATTTGTTCCACTTATAAAACTGTTAGAAACAAATGATGAGATTTTCAACCTCCTAAATTTTGCCACAGATTGTTTCCAACACAAGGACATTTTCTCAAGCTCTCTGGGGATCCCAGTGATGGGCTGTGTTGTCTGCATGCCCAGAGTCCCTGTGTAGGCAATCATCTCTCTTCTACTAAACCATTATCCAAAATTGCTTCTTTCTGGTTACCAAAATGGGAATAAAAGCACTGAGATGAGGAGAAATGTGGGTCAAGGCCTTAATCTGTGAGGTATGTCGAAGACATGACCATTACGTTTCCAAAACCCATCTCCACTTGGGTGCCACATGGAAAGATCTATGGTTATTTGATATAAAACCTACACATGTTATTATTATATCCTCAGAGGTCTGGAAAAACACTCAGCATCTGTGTCAACTACTTAAAAAGCCAAATGAGTTAAATAATAAATCACATGTTTCCATTATGAAAACTAATCATGTTTAAAGGGGAAAAAAACTGTTGGAAATAGGCAAACATATTTCAGTTTACTCCTAGAATTTTTACATATCCTCATACATAAATTAGTTGGTTTTTTTTCTCTTTTTCATAATATCAGAACTTTAAGGCATAAATAATATGTTGCATCTTAGAAAGTACTCTTTTGATATCTATTATCCTTTAATAAAGTGTAGGGTATAGAAAAGGGAACACTTTATAATAATTCATTGAAATAGTTTCCTATTCTTTTGTTCCTTTTGGCCTCACTGTTAAAACAATATCAGGGGAGAAACCTGAAGGGTCAGAAGAAAGGCAAAAACATTATTTTTAAAACTTAGGCTCAGGCTTTTTGAAAAAGTTATGTGGTCTAACAAGTGTGGAGAAAGCAGAGGAGTGATTCCATGATAGTCTGCAAGTGTAATACATGGAAAGTTACTTACAAAGCTCTTACCTCTCTTCTGGATGGTTTAGGAATGGGTCTGCCTAAAAGTGAGTAATGGCTTAGGTTTTCCAAGGACTGTCTAGGCAGGTTTAGTTTATAACAACATAAGCTGTTCTAGTCTCTCTCCCTTTCCAAGAAATTAGTATAATAATGTCCAGTGTAAAAGGGCACTTACTAATATATTATTATTATAAAACCAATTATTGATGTGTTATAGACTATTTTTATTCAAATTCCTAGAAAGCTTTTATTATATTTACTAGAGGCCCAGTGCACAAAAATTTGTGCACTCGGGGGGGGGGGGGGGTCCCTCAGCCCGGCCTGTGCCCTCTCGCAGTCTGGGACCCCTCGGGGGATGACTACCTGCTGACTTAGGCCTGCTCCCTGGGGGGTTGGGCATAAGCTGGCAATCAGACATTCCTCTGGCAGCCCGGCAGCCCTCAGGGGATGTCCACTTGCCAGCGGGAAGCAGACCTAAGCTGCAGTTAGGTCTAGTGCTGCTGAGGAGGCAGGAGAGGCTCCCACCACCACCACTGTACTGGCAGTCATCAGCCTGGCTTGTGGCTGAGCAGAGCTCTCCCATGTGGGAGTGCACTGACCACCAGAGGGCAGCTCCTGCATTGAGCGTCTGCCCCCTGGTGGTCAGTGTGTGTCATAGTGACCAGTCATTCCCAGTCTTTCTGCTGTTAGGGTCAGTTTGCATATTACCCTTTTACTATATAGGATAGAGGCCTGGTGCACAGGTGGGGGCTGGCTGGTTTGCCCTGTAGGGTGTCCCGGATCAGGGTGGGGGTCCCACTTGGGTGCCTGGCCAGCCTGGGTGTGGGGCTGATGGCTGTTTGCAGCTGGTCACACCCCCTTCAGGGTGGGGGTCCCCACTGGGGTGCCTGGCCAGTCTGGGTGAGGGGCTGAGGGCTGTTTTCAGGCTGACTGGCGACTAAAGCTCCCAGCCTCCCCTTTTTTTTCTTTTTTTTTTAAATTCTGGGATTTATTTACCTTCTATAATTGAAACTTTGTTGCCGTCACTGGCGCTCCCAGCTCTGAGGCCGCGGCTGGCTGAAAGCAGGTATCTGGGGTTTGTTTGGCTTCTATAATTGAAACTTTGTTGCTTTTGGAGCTGTTGCTTTCGGAGCTCAGAGCCGGACCACAGCAGGTGGGCAACCTTGGCTTCCTCCATCACTGGAGCAAGCAAGCCTCCTGCTCACTTCAGCTGCGTGGCTGCCGGCCACCATCTTTGTTGGCAGTTAATTTGCATATCTCGCTGATTAGCCAATGGGAAGCGTAGCAGAGGTACGGTTAATTACCCTTTTTGTCTTTTATTAGGTAGGATAATGCTAGAAATGGGTTCATGCACACTTTGCAATAACCATGTATTTATTTTTAATCCATTCTTGTAAATACTTACAATAAATACTTACAAGAGTCCAGGGCCAGCAGAGGCCATTTGGGTGTCCCAGCTGGACTGCTTTGTTTCTGCCCATTTCCCCCAAGGCTTCCCTCAACTAGCCGTCTCGTATCTTCTCAGTACCTCCCTTTTATTTTACTTTAACTAGAGTAGGTTCTGGTTGTTTGCAACCCAAAACACTGGTGATTATAACAAGTGTTCACTTCATAACGAAATTGAGCTTTACTCAGGTTAAGTAACTTGCTTGAATTGTAGTTGTGTGGAAAAGCCAAGTCTAGAACGCATGCCTTCTGGGTAAGTGTTGTGTCTGTCTCGGCACAGTGTTCCCAGTTGCCTTCAGTGCTCTCTGCAGAAGGGCTGCCTCCTCCTCTGTGCCTCTTTGATTGCAGTGCTCAGTCCTGTTTCCCTTTTTAAGGCTTATCTGCTTGATGTCCAGTGGCTTGTGCTCCACACCAGAACTTTGAGCCTCTATAAGACAAGGGTTATATTATATTCATCATTTCATTTTCTCTCAAACACAACCAGAGTGCCTGGGTATATAGTACTAAATAAATATTTTAATGAATGAGTGAGCAAATGCATGCAAAAATTATTCAATTAATTAACTAAATCACCAATATGAGTTTGAAGTTGATACAAGAATAACATTAAAACACACACACACACACACCACTACATTCTTTACCAATCAAAATCTTAGACAATTTTAAATAAAGCAATTTCTTAAATATATAAAAATGTTCACTTAGTAAGCATTTATTCCATGCCTACTATGTGCCAGACTTTTGTTACAGAGAGAAATAAGAAGTAGTCTCCTTCTTCAAGAAGTCTCTTAGATTAATGGGAGAAACAAATGATTTCATGGCTGCAATCATGAAGCTGTGGAAAATCTGAAGAATGACGAGAGCAGCATGCCCACTGCAGCAGCCATGGAAACCACGGAACTGGCCTGTAGATACAGCTCCGAGAAGGGTGCTGGGCACATCAAGGACAACAGCCAGAGCTCTCCTAAAGCTCGAGAAGAGTGCCATGTGCTCTGCCTTATCAGAATGTTATGAGATTTGCTAAAAAAATAAAATATGTCTATACCTTTATTCAGATTTATTTATTTATTTATTTATTTATTTATTTATTATACTTTTTAAAAAAATCCTCACTCAAGGACATGCTTAGAGAGAGGAAAAGAAAGTAAAAGGAACATCAGTATGAGAGAGTAACATCGATCCCCTACCTTCTGTGCATACCACAACCAGGGACGGAACCTGCAACCAGGCTTGAGACCTGGCTGGGAACTGAACCGGCAACCGTTTGGTGTGCAGGATGACACTCAGCTAACTGAGCCCCTCTGGCCGGCAGGCATCATTATTTTTAAAAAGATTTCAATCAAGTCCTGTTATAAAAAATTTCTAAATAATTTTGAAATTATGCTGTACCATTTGAGACCAATAATAAGATTATATTTTGGTTTGGCACAAAGGTGAGAATGAAGAGAGATCCATATAAAGCACTAAAGCTTGATACAATAGGAGCAACAAATAAAGATCAAAAAAAGATAAAAACTATATAGATGAGTGTATATGTATAAAAAACATATATATGTATAAAATAGGATCCAAATGCATCATTCTTTACAAGTTATGTATATGGTAGAGAAAAATGTTTAACTCCATAATGTTTTGGTGCCCTTTGCAGACAATTACTACGGTACCCCAAAGCCTCCAGCAGAACCAGCACCATTACTATTAAATGTAACAGACCAGATACTTCCGGGAGCCACTGCAAGTGCTGAAGGAAAACGGAAGAGGAATAAATCAGTGAGCAACATGGAGAAAGCAAGTATAGAGCCTCCTGAGGAGGAAGAGGAGGAGAGGCCTGTGGTCAATGGAAATGGAGTAGTAATAACACCAGGTTAGTCATTTACAGTTGCTATAGGTTCGTCTGCTTTTTCAGATGTAACTAAATATATCTGATATCTGT